GAAATTCCTTTCAAACTTTTAAAGGATGATAATTTTGATAAAAATAGTCAATTAGATGTACTTGAAATTGCTCCATTGTCAGAAGATAGAAAAAGATATTTGTATAACAAAATTCGTCAGCATGTAGACCCAGAATTTAGAAATATTCTTTGTCCTAATCCTAATTAGTTTTTATTATAATTGAAACTTGTCATTATGATATTTTAAGTTCTATGCTATCAAAAATATAGTTTAGGAAAAATATGGTTGAATAATCATTTATTTTGTTTTTTTGCCTTTTTTTTTGTTAATTTTTTATTTATAATTGTAATTTTATAAAAAAAATAATTATTAAAAATATGATAGATTGGAGTTCATTATCTTAAAATATTATTTCGAATATTAATTTTTTTGAAATAAAATTATGCAGTGTGTAAATCATTGCTTATTTTGTTTTTAAACTTTTTTGAAAGAAAGTTGTCACCCCAGGAAATTTATTTTTGTACTAAACAAACTGGGTCCAATTTTTTCACCAACTATAATCATCATATTATAGTTTAATATTATATAAAAAAAATTTTTTTGATCAAAAAATCTCCAACCCTTCTTTTCCTAGAGCGCCCCTCATATGGAGTTCGTTGACTACACTTCTTGTAAAGCAGCTTCCAACTGTTGGCATTTTTTGGGTATTATGTTCACTTATCTAATCGCCTCCCTAGTTCACTCCAAAGATGTTCAACTGGATTAAGATCTGAGGGTTGTGAGGGTCAATTAGGTACCTTCATGAAGGCACAAAATTTTTCCTCTTCGTTTTTTTGCATTTTTACGTTTTTAAGATTAAAAAAAATTGACAATCTTGATTTTTATAAATCCGATTTTAATTACCAATTTTTTTAATTTTATTATTAATTATCTATGCTAGCCAAAATTACAAAATTTTGTATTAATATTCTAGTTAATCTAAGCTATAAATCGATATAAATTTTATTTTTATTATTATGTAGGATTTTGAGTAAATTTGAGAAACAAAAATTGATATTGCAATTTTCGTCAAATTTCGGATTATTTTAATTAAAATTTTTTTAGACGTTTTGAGAGTATCAAAATTTACATGCATATTCACCAAAACCTAAGCTACATTTTGATAAAATTTTATGTGTAGTTATTATGTGCGTTTTTGTGTAATTAGTAAAAACAGGTGTCCGGATACTTTTGTCCAGGGAGTGTCACATATACTTAATTGCGTTCAAAATTCAAAACCACAATTTACTTTGCTATATATTTAAAGTTATTTTATTGGCCTTGGTATCTTTGGTATATTTATTTATTTACTTGATATATGATTAATGATTAGTGATTATTAAAATAGAAAGGTCACTACAGTATCAATAAAAATGTACTAATTTATACATTGAAGTATAAGAGGCATTTACAAGCTTAGTATTAGTAGATGTTAATTTATTGAAAATATATACATATGTAAACTCGATAAGTCGGTCATGTGGGGGTGAGCTCATATGACCGACTTATCGAATTAAATTACTTAAATATTAAGAAAATGGGGTGAAAATTTTGGCCGACTTATCGAGTAAACTGACTTATCGAGTTTACATACAACCAAGGGTATAAACTTTCGAAAAATTCACTTAAAGGCATTTAGCTTTAAGATTTCATATACAATGTAAAGAATATAAAGAAAAATATATTCAAATGAATTCGTTTTACCATGATGAATTACCAAAAAAAAAAAGCTTTAATAATAAGATATAAGTGCATATGTTCATTTAATAAATTACAAATAGAATGATAAATTCATTTCTTCTTTGTATTGCTTAATAAAAAATAAAATAATAAAACAATAAAATGAGGTTAGCAATAAATTATTTTCTATCTTGATTATCTCTATGTCTTAACATATTGATAATTTGTTCCAATTCAAAATGATGCTGACTAATCTTCATCCTATAGTCTTTAATCATTGACATATGATGAAAAATGGCTGCAATTAAAGGGTCTTCATTGTTGTTTCTAGAATTGAATGAAGAAACATTTAAATTTAAATCGCGATTATTTAAACTATATTGATTATTAATATCGTTATTAGTTGGTGAAGATGATGTATGCGAGCTGCTTTTAACATAAACTAATTGGCGGGGTTGTTGCTGCTGCTGTGGCGCTGCTGCTGGTGGTGGTGGTAAAGATTGCGCTGCCAGAATGTCGTTATTGTTGTTGACATTAGTCACTTTTTGAAATGGTGAACTTGTTGCAATAATTGATAATGAATTATCGAATGCAATGATTTCTTGTCCAAGATTTTGAGTTGGTTGAGTTTGTTGTTGAAGAATTTGCTGGGTTGGATTATTAATTTGTTGAAGTTGTCGCGCATAAATTTGATTTTCGAAATTTTGAACCTGTTGCTGTTGTTGTACGTGATTTTGAAGTTGTCGGTCATAATTTTGTTGTTGAGGTTGCTGCTGAAGTTGCTGAACGGAGTGTCCATCATAATAATAATTTTGTTGTTGTTCAAGAATTTGTTGTTGATGAGACATTTTGATATGTCGTTACTAGTTATTTGTCCGTCTTCGAGATTATTATATTACTAATGCTCTTAATAATATTGTTTATTAAATAATTATTAAACACAGCTAACTTATTAATATTAATCCTTTTAAATCCTTACGAGTAGTTTTCAAAATTGTTTATAATATTTCCAATGACTATGTTTTAAATATAAGTTTTCAATTAATAATTTATTGTTTGAGCTTGATCACACAATTTTGATCATTTATTACGACCTTATAATTTTAAATAGTTTACAAGTATTTTAAAATATAGAGTTAAAAGGGTTTTGAAAGTGTTAAAGAATTTATTTCTTTCATAAAGAAAGGATAATCAGTTAGAGTATTTTTTACTTATTTTTATACATTTTCCATTGATTGTATGTTTCTCTCTTTTCATCTCTCAGATCGTAAATGATTATATTTTTGTTTGTTACATACTTATCATAACGGATTCCGTTCTAGTACAAATTTAGAAGGTATCTATTATTTCGAATATAAAAATATGGTGCGCCGTATCTAAAGACATCAAATGCTGCGCCTCATGCCGAAATTTTTAACACCGATCTTTCCTGATTAA